ACTTTCTGTTTGTACAACAGTGGATATGTGTATTTACATAATTTATTTAAGCTGCTCCATTAAGAACCATACTCTACCTTATTCTGTATAATATATATTCAAAGATTCAGCTACAGTGGTCTGATATTTTTTCCAGCAGTTAGTTCTAAACTATGAGTGAAAACACACATTTAAATAGCTAAATTTAAATTTTCTAGCTCACTGTTACTAATGTTTTGAGTCTTCACTCTTCCAGTCTGCATCCTATATTCCCAGGTTTACCTTTAGCAAAAGGTCTTAAGCATTTCAAATATTATATGACAAGAACTATGGATACTTTCATACTCAGGATCTCACTTAATCCTTGGATTAGCCTGCTGATAGTGGTTCTTTCCTTACATGGCTAACTGTAGTTAATACATACTTGTGAACAAAGAATTGAGTGTTTTATGATATGCTCTCAAAGTACCCAATGCTTTTCTCTTCATCATACTTAATAAAATTAATGCCTCTGCCTTTTAACACTGTAAGGTCTAGGATAGCAGAAATTTTGTCTCTGATGCTCATCATATCCTTTTGCCTGACATAGAGTACCCAAATATTATTTACAATTTAAGCAAACATTTATGAAAGTGTACAAAAATTGCTAAAACTACAGTGAATGTTGCATGCTATATAAGAATTCTTATCAAGACAATCAGATAGGTAGACTCTATATTAAGTTATAAGAATTAAATATCACTTAATGATATGTGGAATATACTTCATTTGATTTAAAATAAGTTTTCTTTTTAAAAAATATATATTTGTATTGATTTCAGAAAGGAAGGGAGAGGGAGAGAGAAACATCGATGATGAGAGAGAATCATTGATCGCCTACCTCCTGCACACTCCCTACTGGGGATTGGCTCACAACCCAGGCATATGCCCATGACCAGAAACCAACCCGGGACCCTTCAATCTGCAAGCTGATGCTCCATCCACTGAGCCAAACCAGCTAGGGCTAAAATAAGTCTTCTTGGTAGAATTATTGTAAGGGTCAGTAATAGATAAGAGAATCAACAAGAGATCTAGATTTTTCTTTTTTCTATATAAATTTCCCCTAAATGAGGAACATTTAAGAATGTGTAGTGAGCCCTGACTGGTTTGACTCAGTGGATAGAGCGTTGGCCTGCGGACTGAAGGGTCCCAGGTTCGATTCTGGCCAAGGGCATATACCCGGGTTGTGGGCCTGATCCCCAGTAGGGGGCATGCAGGAGGCAGCCGATCAATGATTCTCTCTCATCATTGATGTTTCTCTCTCTCCCTCTCCCTTCCTCTCTGAAATCAATAAAAATATTTTTTTTTTTTTTTTGTAAAAAAGAATGTATGGTGAATAAGATTTTTTTAAAAAACATATTGGGAAACCCTATTGTCAGTAAAGGGAAAAGCAAACAAGCTGAAAACTTCTTATTGTAAAACATGAGATATTTTGAAAATTTTGATGAACAGAACAACAAAAACCTATTATCTTCAATGCATAGCTGAGTTTGTTACAATGTAAGGGTAATCTCCAAGGTCTAAGAAGAAATGTAAAACCAGAGCAAGAAAAGTGTGAATTGACACTAGGACTTTTCTTGGACAGTTGCCAATCTGTTAACTAAGGGGCATAGTTTTACTGTCTATCTGAGGATAGATGAAATCTCAAGGCCAAGCAGTTATTGGAATTGAGATCCAATAAAGTTGTTCTTTGAAGAGGGAAATGAAATGAAATGAAAAACAGACTAGAGATTGTGGGATACACTCACAACTGAGGATATTCCAACACACATCACAATTTGAAATAACCACATAAAGAAAAATACCAATAGAAGTGAATATCAGCAGCCAAAACAATAGCAAAATTAGATCCCCAGTAACTCAGATAAAAGTGGCAGTGAATTGAGTCTGTAAAGTAAGTTATATTATCAGGAAAAGGACTAGAAACTAACTAAAACAACAAAAATCAAGATGGTGTTGGAAGAAGTAGTGAATGATTGATTTGATAAAGACCCAAATAGAGCTTCAAGGAATGGAAATGCATTGTGATTAAAAACTAAATGCTCCCTCCTGCAGGCCTGCTTGCCCCCAACTGGCCACCCCCCTGTTGGCCTGATCACCCCCAACTGCCCTCCCCTCTTGGCCTGATCACCCTTAACCACCTCTGCCTCAGCCCCGCCACCATGGCTTTGTCCAGAAGGACGTCCAGAAGGTCTTCCGGAAGGTCTCCCGGTCTAATTAGCATATTACCCTTTTATTAGTATAGATACATTGGATTATAATGGAAACTAATATTGAATAGTTATCAAAATTTTAAATTTGTGATATACATTATTAGTGCATAATAAAACCTACTGAAAGTCTAATAGCTATCATAACTTAAAAATAATGATTTGTGTAAATGCTATTTTGAGATAATCTGCATCTACTGTTAGGTGATATGAAAATAATCTAGGTCTGTTGGTGACAAAAATCACAGTTACTATTATGCTATTAGGTATACACATTAATAATTCAAGGAGATATTAAATTTCAATTCATGGTAAATGAAAAATATTTGTTTTCACACATATTCACAAATCTTCCTTAACGGGTTTTGTGGACCCTAAGTTTAAGAATTGAGTGTTCTGCCTTGGCCAGGTAGTTCAGTTGGTTAGAGTTTCATCCTGATATGCTAAGATTGCAGATCCAATCCCTGATCAGAGCATATAAAAGAGTCAACCAGTGAATGTATAAATAAGTGGAACAATAAATCAATGTTTCTCTCCCTCTTTCTCTTTCCCTTCCTCTCTCTCTAAAATCAATTAAAAAATAAAAAAGAACACGTGTCCTATTAATACCCTTAAATGTATGTCCAAGATTAACATTACAACACTATTATTACAGTATTAGAGGCCTGGTGTATGAAATTTGTGCACGGTGGGGAGGGGGGTCCCCTCAGCCCAGCCTGCACCCTCTCACAATCCAGGACCGCTGGCTCCTTAACTGCTCTCCTGCCTGCCTAATTGCCCCTAACTGGCCCCCCTGCCAGCCTTATCACCCCTAACCGCCTCAGCCTGCTGACCTGATTGCCCCTGACTGCCCCCCTGCAACCTGGTCACCCCCAACTGCCCTACCCCACTGGCCTGGTTGCCCCTAACTGCCTCCCCCTGCGCGCTGTAAAAAAACAAAAACCACCCCTTACTGCCCCGCTCTGCCAGCCTGGTTGCCCCTAACTGCCCCCCTTGGTGGCCTGGTCGCCCCAAATGCCCCCCCTGCCAGCCTGGTCGCCCCTCACTGACCCCCCTTGCCGACCTGGTCACCCCACACAGCCTGCTGTTCAGTCAACCCACACAGCCTGCTGTTCAGTCGTTTGGTTGTCCCTAACTAACCCCCCTGCCAGCCTGGTTGCCCCATGCAGACTGCTGTTCAGTTGTTTGGTCATCCCTCACTAACCCCCCTGCCGGCCTTTTCGTCCCACTCAGCCTGTTCGATCGTCCGTTCGGTTGTTTCGGATGTGATGGCCCCTGGCTCTTTATATATATATAGATAGTAGTAACAAAAAATGGGGAACAACTTAAAGATTCATTAATAGGAGATTTTATAAATTGTAATACAGGATGTGGCAAAAGTAGGTTTATAGTTGTGAGTACACAAAACAGTTTATTCTTGTATTATTATTTATTAATTATTGTATTTTCATATTAACAACTGTAAACTTACTTTTGCCCCATCCTGTATATTCAGACAAAGGATAACTGTAAAGCAGTGATAATGAATGGAGACAAGTTATAATAATAAGGTAGATATCTTGTCATATCTCCTTATATGCCATCAAAGATTATCTCAATATTGAGTGAAAAAGAAGCAAACTTCCAAAAAATACATACTGTATACCATCATTTTATGAAATTTTAACATTTCATATAAAGTGTAAAAACCCAGCCCTAGCCAGTTTGGCTCAGTGGATAGAGGGTCAGCCTACGGACTGAAGGGTCATGGGTTCCATTCCAGTCAAGGGCATATACCTGGGTTTCGGGCTCAGTCCCCAGTAAAGGGCATGCAGGAGGCAGCCGATCAATGATTCTCTCTCATTATTGATGTTTCTCTCTCTCCCTCTCCCTTCCTCTCTGAAATCAATAAAAATATATTTAAAAAAAATAAAGTCTAAAAACCCATATAGGAATGGTATGTTCAAATTCAGGGTAGTGGTTATTCAAGGGTAAGGAATTGTGATGGGAAGGGCAACCTAATTGCACAGAGGGCTTTAAATTATGTTTGTGATGTTTAATTATTTAACTGTATGATGGACACATTACTTTATTGTATACCTAGAATATTTTGTTAAAATATATATTACTTGTTTTGACAGAATATTAATGTAAGAAAGATAGTTTCAATTTAAATTTGCAGGACAATTCAGAGTTTGTGTATATAGGACCTTGTTAAGGGAAAACAACAAATTAAGTGCTTTTCCCCATTTTATCTCAGATAGGAATTAACCTGTGAAGTGCCAGATGCTTTAAATATGTGATAAAAGCATACCTAGTAAATTATTTAATTCTTACAACAGTCCTGTGAGTTGAAGGTATATATTCATAAAGGGAATTCTAACCAAAGCAAAGACAGAACTAGGATTTATATTTAGACCTTTCTACCTCTAAAGTCCATACTTGTTTCCTGTTGTTAAATTGCACATTTCTAGCAATAGATGACTTATTTTAGAAGTAGTAAGTTAACTCACTACAAAATGAGACTGTATCTGAGGCATATTTAATAATACTGATACTAAAATAATCTTAAGTATGACTTTATAATCCAAAGTTTTCTTAAACATACTTTAGCCTGTTTCCACACTCATATGATAGACTGATGAAATTATTAGTTATTAGTAAACTTGTTATAGTGTTCCTATTTTAACACTGTTGATCATTATAACTTAGTACATGTTTACCATCTAAATTTAACTGTAATTTGGTGTTTTATTATTTTAAACTACATTCTGTTTTCGTTTTTGATTGTAGGATCGAAAGTTAACAAAGTCTGAGAGACAGAGATTTAAAGAAGAGGCTGAAATGTTAAAGGGTCTTCAGCATCCCAATATTGTTCGATTCTATGATTCCTGGGAATCCACAGTAAAAGGAAAGAAGTGCATTGTTTTGGTGACAGAACTTATGACATCTGGAACACTTAAAACGTAAGTCCATCAATATAAAAGCTGACCAAGAACTATGAGAAAACTTGAGTTTGCTTATTTTAGGCCTTATCAGTCCTACTTTTGTTGCCTTAGGAGGGAACTGTCCCTTCAACTGTTAGTACATTAGCACATTTTTCTGCCCACAGAGTCCTCTGGTGTATAAAGTGATTTAATAATTATTTATTGGTAAGTTTTAAAATGAGATGTTATTGCCCAGCCAGCATGGCTCGGTGGTTGAGCGTTGACCTAAGGAGGTCATGGCACACACCCGGGTTGCGGGCTCAGTCCCCAGTGTGGGGTATGTAGGAGGCAGCCAATCGGTGATTCTCTCTCATCATTGATGCTTCTGTCTCTCCTTCTTCCTTCTCCCTTCTTCTCTAAAATCAATAAAACTATATATATGTGTATATATATATATATATATATATTTTTTTTTTAAGAGATGTTATTGCAGAATAAACCCAGTTATTTTAAGTCATTGTACTTGGTGTTTCTAAAATTTAAGTGGCTAAGGGATCAGAAATCAAGTGATGATAAGGGAGCCCTCTAGTGGTTAAAATGAAGTTGAAATTTACTGAGAAGCTTTACGCATTATTTTATCAAGCAGTATTAGGCAGTTTTTGTTGCACCTATGCAACTATTGTATCAAATGCACACTGTATTTTGAACATTATCACTACATAATTTCATTTCCCATAGCATCAGAAATTGAAAAGCCAAAACAGCTAGTCCTATTATTTCTTTCAGGAATACAGATAGGTCAAATGCAGAAATTCCCTGTTGCCTATTATAAAGAGTTTTAAGGTAAGAGTTGGAGTATGCCTCTGGAATCTCAGGTCTCTTTTTTGTACTCAGTATCTATTTGTATTCAGAGAGGAAATTAGTATAAATTATGTGGTGTAAATTTTTTATTGTGAAGGAATTGGATTTTAAAAAATTGTCTCTCTAGTGTATATTGATTATTTATTACTTTCTTTAGTTAATACTACTGAGCTCATTAATCCAAGATCTTAGAAGCATAAGTCTTGTATCTCCTGGATGTAGTCATTTGAGTGTGCTCTTGGATGCTTAAGACTAACATGTTGAAAAGCCAACAAAATTTCCCCCCACTGCAAATTCTATTTTCTATTCAACCTCTGTAATATTTATGGCAGCATCCTTATCCTAGTCATCCAGGCTTCTTGGTATACATATGTCTGTTTCTACTACACTGTGGTCCCTAGCACTATGCCTGTAACTTGTTAAGTAGTTGAGTGAATTAAGGAGAATTGTGTGATAGTAGTTTTGTGTATATCTGCATCTTGAGACTCTTTTCACTGTTTTGTATACTTAGTGGATTGTCAATAGACTTATCAGGTACACCCTACAACAGTTCACTTGTTTTAAAAACTGTAATAAGGGGCTTTGGGTAACATAGTGGGCTAAGTCCCTGTTGGATGGCCTCCCCCGTACCAACAAACTAAAGTGTAGAATGTCATTAAAGCTCTTTCCATAAGCATCCAAGCTTCAGATTAAAAAAAAAAAAAGAGGACATAAAAAGCGAAGGAGAAGTAACTCAAGGCCAAAACAGGAGCTGATGCACTGGCGTTCTATGGGAATTTCATACCATTTATGGGGTTTGAGGATTGGATACTAGAATTTTAATGTCCATGCTAGGACTAAGCCCTAGAACTCAGTAGAAAGGAAAACTGGAACTTAGTTTCTGTCAGAAGACTGAATTACCTATTTAAGAGAGAACTCTGCATCCCAGTGAGTGAAAATTATAAGGAATTTTGCCCATCTGCCCAGGACTTTGGATGGGAGGAAAGTTCCTATGAAAAACAGAAATCTCAGCCTACATAATATATAATATAAATTTGTACTACCCACTTGGTGCAGGAATCCCAAGATTAGGAATAAACTTCATTATTGTTTCAAAGTCCAATGACAACTCCCAGAACATTTTCATACTTCATTGATCATATGGACAAAACAGTCTCTAGTGAAGGCGACTTCATAATTAAATTACTAGCCAGTAAAGATGATCAGATACAACTGGAAAATAGCACCACAGGAATTAAAGATACTATAGACAACTCTGAAAGTGATTATAAAATAAATGTGTAATTATTTAAAAATTTCAGTAAAGATATATGTAAATATATAAAGTATATACAAGCATATAAAATAACAAAAGAAAGAATAGAAACCATAATGAAGAAATACAACTTTGTCAAAAAAAGTTCAGATACAATTAGAAAAAATCCAAAGAACTAGAAATAAGAATAAATCATTAAAATTTTAATGGTTAGGTTCAACAGCAGACTAGATTGAATAGACAAGAATAAATATGAAGGTGCTTGCTTTGGCAGCACATATACTAAAATTGAAACGATACAGAGAAGATTAGCATGACCTCTGTGCAAGGATGACACGCAAATTTGTGAAGTGTTCTATATTTTTTCTCAGCAGGAAGGCCGGAGTGGATGGGTGGGTGGGAAGAGATGAACCAAAGAACTTGTATGCATATATGCATAACCCATGGACACAGTAATAATGTGGTAAAGGCCTGGGGTGGGGGGTCGAGGATGGGGAAGGGCTAGAAGGTGTCAATAGGGAAAAAAGGGGACATATGTAATACTTTCAATAATATTTCATATATATACTAGAGGCCCGGTGCATGGATTTGTGCACTGGTGGAGTCCCTCAGCTTGGCCTGTGCCCTCTCACAATCCAGGACCCCTTGGGGGATGTTGGATGCCCAGTGCATAGATTTGGCCCAATCTCTGCAGTCCAGGCCGAGGGACCTGCATATAAAATCTTTAGTATGCATATAAAATCTTTGGTTAATTTCTTCCCCCCTTCCCCCCCCTCCCCTTCCCGCTGAGATTCATCAGTCTGTTCCATGTTTCCACTCCTGCGTTGAGCGTCTGCCCCCTGGTGGTCAGTACCGGTTGAACAGTCACTTAGGCTTTATTTATATAGATGTATATACATACATCTATATATATACTCACATATACATACATATATATATCACATAGAAAAAAATTCTTGAAGTTTGCTAAAAGAAAAGTAAATATTAAGAAATCAGAAAAAGGTGGAAGATACGAGAAAAGATGAGAAATAGAGTGAGAATTAGATTTAATTTTACTCTATAATGGAAAAAGATAAAAAATATGAGCAAAGACAATATTTGAGAACAGGATGGCTCAGATTGAGAATGTGTATATAGTCCAAAACAAATAGATTTAAAGCAAATCTATATTCATACTGTAAGAATACAGAACAATGAAGAACATTGGTAGTTTTTGGAAAGGCAAATGGAGTGAAAGGGATGGTATGTAGTTCCAAAATACATGTATTTTGGATCCTTTGAGTTTCTATCTTTGTTCCACATATATAAATACTTAAATTGAAATAAATACCCATGCCTGGAAAATAAGATGGGAATATATGGATTAGAAAATTTTGTTTAAGTGATGCAAATAAAGTTAGGTTTTTTAAAATTGAAGTGAAATTACTAACATAAAATCAACCTTTTTAAAGTGTACAATTCAGTGGCATTTAGTACATTTGCATTGTTTTGTGGCCACCACATCTAATAAGTTCCTGAACATTTCATCACCATCAAAAGAGCACCTGGTACCCATTAAGTTGTTACTCCCATTCCTCTTCCTACACAGTATAATTTGGTCATGAGGAGTTGCTTCTCTTGGTGATTTCAAGATTCTCTCTGTATCTTTGGCTTTCAGCAATTTGAATGCAATATGTCTCATGTGGATCTCTTGGATTTTATTGAGCTGCCTGGGTGTGTAAATTCATGTCTTTTATCAAATTTGGAAAGTTCTTGGCCATTATTTTATAAAATATTCATTCTCTTCCTTTTCTCTCTTATTTGGGACTCCCATTTTGTATATGTTGATCCACTTGGTATCTCACAGGTCTCTTATCTCTTAAGCTCTGTGGATTTTTTTCTTTATTCTTTTTTTTTCTGCTCATCAGACTGGATAATTTCAGTTCACTTACTGTGATTTGCAGCTTCTATCTTCTGCCTGCTGAAATCTGCTGTTGAATTCAGTGAATTTTTCATTTCAGTTATTGTGTTTTAGCTCCAGAATTTGTTTGGTTTCTTTTTATAATTTCTGCCTCTTTATTGATATTATCTTTTTGTTGAACTAAAATATCCTACACTTCCCCTGGCCAGGTGTCTCAGTTGGTTGGACCATCATTCCAGACACCAAGAGGTTGCAGGTTAGGTCCCCGGTTGGGGCACTTTTGGAAGACAACTGACTCTCTTTCTCTCTCAGCAGTAAAACATATCCTTGGGTGAGGATTAAAAAATAAAAATAATAAAATTTCCTATTCAAATATTTGGCAGCCATTGTTCTTAGCATTTAGTCTTCCAATTCTGTGGGATAAGTACCATAATTTTTTATCCCACATTTAACCATAAGTTGGTTATCAGTTTATATGAACTATTTCAGCACTTAAAAGCTGATTAGGAGCTATGGTTATGAGGCTGGAAGTTTTCAACTATTAGGCTTTTCTTCAGTGTGATTGGGCATGAGCAAACTGTAATTAAGGACTCAAAAATGTATCAGGAAGATCATCATTTATCTATCAATTAATTATTATGTCTTTTCTGCACCGATGATGCCTGATTGTCATATTTCTTATTTGGTTGTAGTGGTTTTAATAATGTTCCTAATTTTATATAAAAATAATAATAATAAAATTTTAAATGATTTTTGATTTTTTTTAATGAGGCATAGTTGAGATACAACATTAAATTAGTTTCAGGTGTAAAATACAATGATTCACAATTTGTATATATTGCAAAATGATCACCACAGTATCCAGTTAACATCTGTCATCATACATAAGACAATTTTTTTCTTACGATGAAGACTTTTAATATCACTCTTAGCAACTTTCAAATAATCAGTATAGCATGATTAACTATATTGTATATTATATCCCCATGACTTATTTATTTTATAACTGGAAGTTCATACCTT